AGTAAACTAGAACTTATTCATCTTCTTACAATGGATTCTAATAAATTTTAAATCATAGTAAACGTATGTCGGAGTAAAATTTCTATTGAAGAATTGTAATGACAAAGAAAAGTAGAAATCAGAGTGACAGACTAATTATACTATTAATTTTATTTCGAATTTCATTGAATTGGATCATCTAGATTGTCATCAACATTTTTATTATCAGAAATGATACCTATGAACTGAAACTATTACATGAAATAAAATTTACAAAAAATATAATTTGCCATTTGATTGTTTGTCGTACATTACGCAATATTGTCTGAATTTCCAGTATTGAAATATAATTTTCTTCATTTCAGAACATCTATTTAGAACAAGTTTCCATTGATCGTCATCAAAAAAAAATATATTCATTATTATATTTATTGCTAATTATCTAAATCAGCTAATGGCATAAAGAACCATGATTTATAATGTTGAAAACGACTGTTTGCTGATGTCAAAGAATAATGACCAACATCAAGTAAAGACTATTTAATCCTAGTCGCATCAGTACGAAATATTTCTGAACAATGACTTTAAAATTGTCTGATTTATTGCTGAACTTGAATTAATACTTTATTTAATATATAATAATTAACTTTATCGTCATAATATTTAATAAAGAAAGGATATCAATAGAGAATGCCGAAATTGCATCATTCAATGAAAGTTATTGACTTATTTCAAGAATAATTTCTTAACAAAGACCAGTCTTTTCAACGAAACTAAATGAATACTTTTCATGTAAAAAATAAACATGAAACAAAACACTCACTAAATATTGTTCATGGTTATGGCATTCTTCTTTGAAAATATCCAATTCATTCACTAGTTTTTCCCGATTAACTATCATTTGAGTACGTGTCAAATTATTATCTTTAACTAATGATTTCAATTGATATTCAGATGTTACTATACCATCTATTTTGTTGTGTTTCAATAGAAAAATTATCAAAGAATTGAGTAGAATATATAGCTTTCCAAATTTTTGTTAACGTGAATAAAAGAAAGTTAATTTTAATAAGCAAATTGATATATAATTTATGTATATCTATTCGATTCAGAAGTAATTTCATATGGTTAAACAACATAATTTACATTTAAATAATCGATAATCGTACTTGAATAAACCATAGTCTCACAACATTTTTTTCTAAACTAATTGTCGTCATGAGGTATGTAAATAAGTATTAGGCGACGCTGAAATATGAAAGATCGAAGTATTTTATGCAAGAAGAAAAACTATCCGGACTGAAAGCTGCTTGACATGCCTATTTAAGAGAGCCGACGAAAAACATAAGACAATTATTGTGACATTGTTCAAAACATTTGGATAATGAGTCGATATTTTGAACTTCATTTTCATACATAGAACTTATCTTTTTTTTTTTGTTATTAAATCGATAGATTGATCATAATTGTCAAAAGTATGATTATCGTCCCTTTCTTCTATATCACTATTCTAAAGAATAATTTCCAAAGTTTTTCTATAATACGATACCAAAGAAATTCAGCTAGATTTATTCTTTCCAAAAAAAGGCTTCGTTTGTTATTGCAAGTTTCAAAACACATATGAAGATGTTATAAAGGAAAATACTATTACTATTGGAAAATTGTTTTTTCAAAGAGAAATTTTACTTCAAATATGTGCTCAAACTACTGTAGATCTTGATGAATATTGATCGCAAACACTATTTCCCTTGAAATGCCACTGATAGGATACCAATACTATGGGTTTTTAAATGTATTTCATGACTACCGATATTTGATTTTAGAGACATTCATAAGTTCAATTTCTTATGCACATGTGAAAGAAAGTTCGATAGATTTAAAATAGTATTTGTTTTTCACAGCTCTTCGTTTAATAACAAATATCATAAAATTTAGAGTAAACATGGTTTAGTATACATAGGCTTCGATGTTGATTTATCATCATATTTACTATTCTGAAATTTTCAAAATAAATAGTTGACACTAATTTCAAGAACATACTATTTCAGAAAAGAACAATCACGGTCAGGAGATATAAATATATGCAAAACCATGATTTGTAATTTAATTTTTAAAAGTCTAAAATATTGTCCATCTACTTCTGTCACTTCAAAGAAAATAATGTGTAGATTGGTGCTTTCGATCAGTATTCATCGAGCTCTACAGTCTGGGAGCAAAGCATAAGCGAAATTGGTTTTTCAGGCTTTTTTAATATTCCTTTTTTCAATTTCTGTTTCGTGAGAATTGTCAGCATTTTTCTCTCGTCGAAATAATTAAAAAAGAACAGCTAATTATGTTTCTCAAAACTTTAGTTCAATAAGATGAACGTGAAAAATCGGTGATATCGAATTTCAAATACAGCATTTTGTTCAGTTTTCAATTATGCATAAACATTGTGATACGCAGGCGTTTGTAGGAAGTAATTTTATCTTTTCCTGTTTTTTCGGTTATTCTCACTAAAATCAAATTTTAGAGGCGAAGATCGACTCTGAAAATCGAGCGTGAAATTCTGTATCTATTGATATACCTTTTTTTTTTCATTTTACTTCAATTATGAAAAATCTATCTAGACAGACATTCTCGTTCTATAATACATCACCATGTGAATCAGATTCGTACCTCTTAATATGAAAAAGAAATGTTTTAAAAAAAAAACCTGAAAAACTAATATCGATTAAAAGTTTGTCCCAGACTGCTATTTAGTCACATATTTTAAGTCAAACTCGTTGTAGTAACACGAAACGTTCTTGCTGTTTATTTTTGCTCATTCCCAAGTATTACTTATATACTGGAAGATAAAGAAATTTAAGCTCTACAAAATTATTGATTTTGGTTTTCAAAAAAGCTTTTCTTGGTGGCTTTCAATTAGAAAGGTTCAAATCAGCTAAATCATTCAACTGTGATGGTAAAAAAAGATACGAAAAAATGTGGGAATTTTTAAGTAATCGTGCACCTGATGTTTAAGCCATGATACAAAATTCTGCTTCTTTAGTTGCATGTTTCGCAATTTTTGAGCAATTATTTGAGAAAAACAGTTCTTTTTTTAAAGCACAATATCCTAAAACACAATAATAAATCTTTCCTAGAGCAAATCTGGCTTATGACACAATGATATTTCGAAGTACACTAAGTTTCGAGTTTTTTTTCTCCTGAGAAACGAAACTAAGGATCTTGAAAAGGTTGTTGAAGAATACAGCACAAAATTTTATCTACTGGTCACAAAAACTTCATTTTTTATCAGTGATCTGAATCAGCAAAAACTTGCACTAATGTTTAAATGTAAGCAGAAAACAGAAGCTCTCAGTTGCAGAATTGAGTAAAAGTGAATTCTTTAAATATGCACCAAAAAGGAAAACAAATTTCCCAATTTTGTAGAGCTTGAGCTTGTCTATCTTTTTAAATAAAAATGAATATTTCTTATGAACCGGAAATTAATAAAAACATTAGAAACTTTGACTGCAATTTATTATGGTCCACCCCTGATTTCTCTTTCAACTGTTACTTAACAAAAGTCGGTTTACGAAGATTTGTTGCTTTCTGTCTTTGAAGCACTGAACCTAACATCTTTACCGTTGAACTAGACATTTGATTCTTATTTAGGTTTGCTTATGTATTATGGTATACTTTATACAACACCATATATGAAAAGAAAACTAACATTATCTTTTGATGAAAACTCATTATTATTGTCTTCTGGTATTTATAATAGACATGTTCACGTACAAACATTAACATTGAATTTTAGCACGATTTCCGAAGTTTCCATGGAGATTTTTCATCTTTTTTATTTCCTAATGTTTGCCATTTAACGTTGTCGTTTACATACCACTATGTAGACAATTATAGAAATGACAACGATTTAAATTGTAGTGTTGTTCATTACTATATGGAACTTTCCGAGTATCCGTCGGTTTGGATATATTTGAACAAGATGTTATCATTAACAAAATTACAATCATTGACTATTGAAAACTTATCACCAAAAGACTTTTTGATCTAGTTACTTAGCAGCACTAACGGCTGGGTAGGTAAGACATAAAATCTGATGTTTTTGCATTGAGTATCAATAGTAAAAATCTCAACTATCTTTTAGTTTTATTCAGCAAAAGTGTCGTCAACTTAATGTTTGCGAATAGTCACATATTCAAAAACATTCAACATCTCACTGTAACTGAAAGTATGAGCGATACAATAAGTATAAAAAATATCGAAGTATTTATTCATACTTTTAAAAACTACAGGCGTCTTAACGTATTACATATTCAAATGTCGGACGAAGATTTTTTTTCCAGTTATACGATTACTAATAAATGAACTGAACTCATTGTTCTTTCTAAGTATTGAATCGAGTGTAATTAAGCATAAAGCTGAAACAATATTGGAATGGTTAAAAGATGTGTTAAAAGGATGTTGAAATTACTTTATGAGTGTGTGCATGAGGGTCTGTCTGCATTTTTTGTATATTTATATGTCAGTTGTATATTTGAATAGCTGCTTTGATTGCATTATGTCCAAATTTTTGTAACAATCTGTGTAAAACATAGAGTGCTTTTTTTATAACCAAAAATATAAATAAATGATTGAATTTTGCAGAATACTTGATAGTATTTCGATGAAGTCTTCAGTTAATCATGAAAATGTCATTTTTTTCAGAGATCATATGACACTCAAATAAGAGTGCCATGTAGAGCAAACGTTTTTCTCTGTAGTGAAAAACAGGTGATATAACATAGATTGCAGTCACAATTTAGTCCATGATGATTGCAGCAATCGAAAGAGATCTTTCAAAAACAATGAGTTAGGTATTGAAAAGATATTGGAAATACAATCGATCAAGTGAATCATTTTTTATTTGGAAAAACTAAACGAAAATAAAAATGCATTTTTATACTCTTACATTACCAAACAATAGATTGATTTTACGTCAATCAAGACGATTCTTCTTTCAATAATAAACCACTTTTTTTTATCGAAAATGCTTCTTAAGCAAACTTTTGTATATAGATGGCTTGTTCGTTACCTCGATCATCAATCAATTGTGTTGTCGCATGTTTCCCTACTCCCCATGTAGGAATAGTATCAGCAATAAGAATCGTTTCACCATCACGTCGTGTCATGATCGATTCTCTTTTGCTTGTATTACGAGCAGTAATGCGAACGGGTACACGACTTTTAACATTGCAATTGTTTGAAAATTTGGAAACATTTGTACATTTATTATCGATTGCTTTTCTCAATGACCATCTCATCATATTTACGGTACTGTTTCCTAAAATATTTGTATTTTCGATAACAATCAAATGAAAACTGAAATGAAAAGATAATACGTAAGAACTTGTTTTGAAGAGCATTATACTTAGGTTATTTTATTTTTCTAATTATAATACATTATTATAAACTTCTGAAATATTCTCATATGTGTATCTTCGTGGAAATTGAAACTAACCTTTGAAGCTTTTCTGTATCTGCAAATTTTTTGTTAGTCCAACATTATTTGTTTTGTCTTTTGTTGAGAATTAGGTATCTGACGTACCCCACTTACGACACTGCTGCTCGAATGACTTCCGTAGGCTGAATGTCCAAATGTTTGGGGCGGCTCACCATCCGAACTGTCGTCAACATTTGTTTGCTTGCGTGTTACCTGTTGAGTTCGAACAGAAGTGAATGATCGTTCAATCAACGAGGGCAGTTGAAAACGAGCAGTATTTGATTCAGATGTTTCATCAGCAAACGATGGTACAAGAACTTCATAGGATGGTTTTACTTGACGAAGATGAACAATATAAAAGCTATCTGAACGACTCATTACGGGTGTGGGTGTGAGTGTGGACTTTCTCTTCATTCTTCCACACCCACACCAACATCCACATCCACACCTTCACCCACACCCACATCCACACCCACACCCACCCACACCCACACCCACACCCCACCCCACACCCACACCCACACCCACCCAAACCCACACCCACACCCACACCCACCCACACCCCACACCCACACACCCACCCACACCCACCCCACACCCGCACAATTTGACCATAATGGGGCGGTGCGCCGTCTTGCTGCCAGATCATTGTTTGAAAACTTGAATGTTCTTCAAGTTGTGGTATGATATTATCCTTCAACATCTGAAAATACTTTTGTGATGTAACATTACCTTCAAAAAAATATGGTCCAACGACGCCATTTGACCATATTCCTCCCCAAACAACCACCTGTGGTACATTGAGTTCTTGTTCAATAACGAGGTGTGGATTTGTATCACTCCAATAAACGCAATTGTGTCTATTAACACGACCGTTTACTTTGAATATGGCCTCGTCCGTCCATAGAATTCGATCCAATAGAGTTGGATCTTCTTCAAATGAATCTAAAACCCATTCACAAAATTCTGTTCTTCGATCTGGATCATCTTCGTTTAAAGCTTGTAATAATCTTGGTTTATATAGTTTTAAATTTAGATCTTGCATAAGACGGCCTAAGCGTCTACGGGAGATACCAAGATCAATTGATGCACGTTTTTTAGATGTTT